CGATCGGAATCGATCGCTGAATGCACTGCATCCTTGCATCTCCTCCAAGATAGCTGAGTGACCTGAACCTCTGAGATCTCCCCTGGAGAACCCCCTCCCCAGTGCACAGCACGTTACATTCGCGGAAAGCCCGTTAGGGTTTAGTGGGAAAAGCTTTTAACTGCAATGCAAAATATCTAAAAGCTGTCCTACATTCTAAAATACAAAAGGGGGTCGTAAAATGACCCTCTGCTCCCTTTTTATAGAGGGAGCAGAACAAAACGCGGGCGCGTTGCTCGGAGCGCTCCGCGCCGAGTGCGGAGGCCACGCGGCCACGTGCACGGTCCGGTGTGTTGTCCGTCTGGCTCCAGTATGGAGCCCGGATCTGGAGCGTGAATTCTTCCGGACCAAAGTTTTCCTGGCCTTGGATGCCAGTTCCTGTGTGACTGCGAGGTGCCCTTCCAACAGGCCCTTAAACAGGACTAAGCCCCCCTTATACTGCGAACAAAGCAGTTTTAAGAGCTACTAATACTTCGATCGTTGCCAATTTTGCATTTCTCCATTAACAGCAGCATTTTTAAAATTAGCTTTAACTAGTTATTAAAGCAATACTTTCTCGGACCTTCTCGTGCCACCGAATGAGTGCATGTTTTAATTCCAAGTGTACAAGACGGGCGGTGAATGACAGCATGACCGAGATTGCTGAGACGGCCCTAGCGGGAATGCAGCGGCAGATGAAAGAGGGCGTCTGCTTCGCCTCCAGCGGCCCCGCTTATTTATATAAATTATCAAAGTGCATTGTTTATTTCCAAAAAGCTTTGCATTCGAATAGTCCGCGAGCAGATTCCACATTAATAAGTGTGTCTGTTATGGAAAGACGCTTTGCTTTACTATTTCCTCTTTGGAAGCAGGAGCACACAGAGTTATGTGAAATAAAGTCTATTTGGGACGAAATCGAAGGTAGAGACAAGATTTATGCCTTGACCCATCAGATTGGCATTGTTGCCATTTGTTGTAAAGGTAAGTCGGTGGTCGCCGACGGGTATTTATAATGGAACTGACCATGCGCAGTTGCTGCAACACACTTAGCTGTTCGTTCCGACAAGCCACTCGCTTTGTGCAGGGCTTTTTTGAAAGCGTTGGCGATTTGTAGCAAGCAAAACATTTGCAAATGTTACATTTGCGTTGGGGCTTGTTACAATATTGGAATTCTGTACGCACGCTTATGTCAAAGCAGTGGTTGGGAATATCCTTTGCTATTAGCTGATGTTTGCAAAACGTTGCGGGAATTGGCAGGAAATGAAAACAATTAAACGTGTGAGCGAACAGTGGAACTGTTAGAAAACACTGTCTCTAGTCATCCATCTGTGTGAAAAATGCGCTTGTTTTATTTCTCCTTCTTTCGAAGGGGATCACGGTTCTCGTAAATATACGCACAGCATATGGTCTGTACACGGGCGGAGCCCGTGCTCATGTCCGTCTAGAATCTTTTAGATCCTGTCCACGGTACCATCGAGCACCCTCGTATCTGAGAGGAACAATAAAATGTAATCCTTCCTCGAATAAACTATACCCCCGTTTGTTATGGCGCGGCAGCCCGAATTGGCTGCCTGCCAGGTGCTACGCACGGGCCTGTGTTGCACGGGCTAACGCGTGCCTATTTGGGCAATTCCGCTGTCGCCGTGCAACGCACAACTTTTTCCCTTTCTTCTCTTTACCTTTTGATAGCCAATTCAACCTACGGATATCGCAGCCTGCCTCGTTGCCTACGTTGGACCGTGACAACAAAAAGATTATAAAGCCGTCATATGCCTAGTTCTCCATTGGAATAATGTTTTATTTCCTTAATAAGGCTGTATCGTCGAAGTCAACTATGGAGAACCAACTAAACATAGAAAGCGCACTTTGCCAGCTTATTGCAGAGCTCGTTGCCAGGCTAACGGAAATTAGACGCTTAGAAAAGGAAAATGAAAGTTTAAAAGCTGCGGTTAACGGAAAAGAGAATTGCACCTGCATAAAAATACAAGAAAGTGTAAACCCCATACAGCCGACAATTGATAATCTACATTTGGACGAAAATTGTTCTGGAAGTTATAGGCCTAGCAAACGACAACGGCTCGAGTAAAATTCAGTTAGCGACCTTTACAAATGCCACAAAATGCTACATAAGTTAAATGGGTGCATTTTTAGCCCATTATTTGGTTTTGCGCATTAATAAAAAAACTTGGCCAACCCACCGGCCACCGGCCGTGGGTAAAACTCTGCACGCTGGGAGCGGCTTTTGTTAGAAAATATTGTCTCTAGTTATCCTTAAGTGAGAAGAATGCGTTTGTTTTATTTTTTCTTCGTTTGAAAAGGATTACGGTTCTCGTAGATATACACAAAGCATATGTTCCGAGCACGGGCTCCGCCCGTGCTCGCGTCCATCTAGAATTTTTTAGATCCTGTCCACGCGGTAGCATCGAGCACCCTCGTATCTGATAGCTTTTAATAGCCAAATTAACGCTTACTTTATCGCAGCCTTGTTTCGTTGGTAGGTAAAAATCTTTAACGACAGCTAAAGCGCACACCGAACGCCGGAATCCCCTCTTCTTAACTTTTTCCTCTCAGTATGGAGCCCGGATTTAAAGTGTTAATTCTTCCAAACCAAAGTTGTTGGCTGAAAACGCCGTGAATTTAGCGTTAAAAGGTGGTGTTATTGTTGGTATTAGGTAGAAATTAAGTGATTGGACAGGGGGCGTGTGACGATCTAGGTCAAGGCCCGCAGGCCTTGACCCACAGACGAGGACCCACATGAGGAACCGTGATCAAGGCGCACGTTCCGCGCGCCGAGCACCGGAATCCCCTCTTTCCTTCCTTTCTCCCCTAGATTAGAATCTTCGTTCGTAGCGCCAATTGACTGTGTTCTAGTCTTCGACCATGGCCGTGACAGGGCCCTCCGACTTACTCGACCCCAAACCCTAGTTAGAAAGGCCACTGCTGCGTTGGAAGCACTAATAACCAACGCGTTAAGGACCAACGCACCGAAGCCGCAGGAAGATGAAAGGGCTTGTGTCACGGCCACGGTCGAAGATTAAAACACTGTTTATTGGCGCTACAAACGAAGATTCTACTGGAGCCGGACGGATAAACACACCGGACCGTGCACGTAGCCTCCGCACTCAAGGCGCGGAGCGCCCTGAACAACGCGTCCGCGTTCCGTTCTGCTCCCTCTATAAAAAGGAAGCAGAGGGTCGTTGTACGACCCTCTCTTGTATTTAAAAAAACAGGACAGCCTCTAGATATTTTGCAATGCAACTAGAAGCCTTTTCCACCCGGCCTTAAAAGGCTGTCCACGAACACTTTAACTTCAAATAGCCAAATCAACGTTTTTTTTGCAGCCTTGCCTCCTTGGCAGCGGTGACCCCCTGACATACCTAACCTAACCTAACCTAAACCTTATCGCCCCGTTCGGCGGCATCGCCTCCCTTAGCAACATCACGCCTGCGCGTGGCATATCTACTGTGATAATTATGTGGCCTTCGATATTATGGCGGGCTTACCCCAGCTGCAGTGATGTGCTTTATTTTCGAAAGGCCAATTTTGCCGACTTTTAATACAGAAGTAGAGACACCCCCTTCCAACCCCATTGCCTTCCCGCTACAATTGTTTAACAAGTAGCTTAACTAAATATATAAGGTGATATATTATCGTTTACGAGGGATTGCTTTTCAAGCTCATCGGGTTTTAGTTGAAATATATCACAGTCGTAGTACGCTTCTAAACACTACATTTGTTATGCGGACCTCCTTTATTACCATTGTGGGCCTGATGTGGGCTGAAAGGCTGTATGCACTTTCAATATCCGATGTTGTGTTAAAAACTCCTACGTGTGCTGTAAGCGCTGCTCTTCACTCCTTTTACGCAAAGTCCTAATATCCTTTAGTATAAGTGTTTATCAGCCAACCTTAATTCCGACCACTGTTATGAGGATTTAGAATCTTGTCTTTGTTCGAACATTACACTCCAATCCGAATTGTCAATATGTGCACAAAAGGCCTGTTCCTTTCTTGACCAAATTGGTAGGAAAAACTTCCCATCACATAATTCAAAAGCAACGCTAATACCCAACAGCTGCGGTTACCGTCGAAGCTGAACTTTGTGCTGCCTATCCTAAGCCATCCAGGAGCCGCGATGTCCAATTAGCTATAATAATTGGCTCTACACTTTTGTGTCCAATTATTATTTTGCGCGTGTTTGTAAAGCTTTACGCGAAAATGGTATCTATAGATGATATTGCCATATTTATAAGTAGTGTAAGCTTAAAGAATTTCTACAGTGCTAAACCGTCACTAAACCGTTTTGCAGATTCTCTTAGGAGCTTTAGGGGTTATTAATTTTCATATTGCAAATTTAGGGCTTGGCATGCACTACTGGACAATTCCCATTGGTAACGGAGATAAGATTCTTATGGTGCGTAAGGTTTTAATATTATGGTATTCCTCTTTAAAACTCTAACTAAATCTTACAGGGCTTTTATATTGGTTCAATAATTTACGTACCCCTTCAAATCAGCAGCAAACTTTCAGTTTTGTTTTTCTTTAAACAGATCTTTACCACATATTGGCTTAAGACAACACTCAATATATTAATATGTGTTCTTTGCCTTCACGGAATTATATATATCCTTCTTTTTATAATTCAATGTGATCCGGTTCGCTCTATTTGGGATCGTTCCATTGAAAACGCCAGGTGTCTTGATATTATTCCTATTGCATATAGCAATGGAGCTCTCAGTATTGTCGAGGATCTTATTATTCTTTTTTTACCCTTTCCCGCAATATGTCATCTAAATATTGGTCGCTCAAAGCGCATCGCAATTCTATGTTTTTTAAGCGTAGGAATATTGTACGTAAAAACCCCCACGTTGCATTGAGCGGGCTAACTGTGGTTTACTAGTGCTTGTATTACTTCAATGGTTCGAATGAAATATGTTGTTCAGTATACTGTTACATTAAATTCAACCTGGGACAATGTTGATATTGTCATATGGTCCTTCATTGAACAGGCTATAGCAATATTCTGTGCCTCCCTGCCCGCTATCAGGCAATTGGTGGTTAAAATATTGCCGGATATTTGGAACGGTGACTTGAAAGCGACTAATACAATAAGAGTACAAACGGAATTCTGTGTCACATCGGCGCGAAGGGAATAAAGAGGTAATACGCGTTTACGCACGACGTAAAAATGGGCTTAGCTGAGGGAAAGGTACTTACTATAGTAAATTGGCTGCACCACGAGCAGCTAGTTCGTGCGTGCTACTAATTGCAACGTGCATGGTACCCCATGTCCCGTCCGCATAGCCAGGCAACTCCCCAGGAGGTGAGAGGGGAGAAATATCTCTCCTAGCTTCTTTGTTGGCGTGCATCCCAATTCTTCCCACCATTAGGAGCTGGCGTCCCTAATGGACGCTCAGACAAGACCGGAGATCACTCACAGTTGCGCCTTGAGCACGAGGGCCAGTGTTTGCCGGCCCTTTGACTACACAATCCTCCAGGTGGTTGTCTCGTTCGTTCCTTTCGATACCCTGGTGTCCGCAACATCATATGCGCACGTCCCCTTTTTTTTCTCTATAATTCGTTAAAATGACGACGATGATTCGTTTCTGTTTGACTAAAGTGCTATCTACACACACACATCCATATCTCTTGATGCACTGGGTTTAGTGCCGCTGCAGCTGCTCGAGGCCGCGCAGTGCGCCAGCTCTTTCAACGTCTCAAAGTAGCCTAAGTTGCGTACTTATTCTATCAGGGGTTTAAATTGTCGTTTGCAAAGCGGATTGTCTCCCTCCGCTACAAAATGCGTACAGTAGACGTTAAACATGGTCGCTTGTGCTAACGGTATGCCGGCATGGCCGAAGATAGCTGCAATCGGGACTGTCGAAGGACTGATCGCGCTGCATATAGCAGCGACTTCTCCATGCAGATACCGGCGCCTCACAAATTTATTTTAAATTAATAGCCAAACCAGCGCAAGCATGAAACAAATTGAACACCCGGGAAAGTTGTGAAAAAAGCTTCCATCATTTAGGGAGACACACGTCGCATCGTGGCGCTTTCGCTGGCCCACATCCGATCTGGAAACGGCTGGGGAAACCGACATGGGGCAGGTACAGGTATCCAGGATCAGAATTTGTTAGCGCGGTGGATCAAACAGGGGGTGAGCCAGGGTATTAGACAGGTGGTAACGGTACACAGGCTGCCGCACAATCTGTAATAAACATCAATGTATCTTAACGAACCGCTCAATAATCAACGCGGTAACATCCGTTGGCCTTCACCATCTGTAGCCTCCTAACCATGGATCGGGCCAACTTTTCTATAAAAAATGAAGAAAACTCGACGGGCACTGCCTCCCAGGCAGCTGTTACGGTTCGACAGTAAGAGCCTCTGTGACAAGGGCTGGGAGTCAGGGCTTGAATCATTGTAGGATCAGACTTCATAATAATTGTCTAGGGTCCGGTTTGAGCCATGACTTCCTCCTCTTCTGTCGAAGGGAGATGGGCTTGGGTTAAATACACGGGCAGAAGCAGTACAAAAGGAAGGTATCGTGCACAGGCCTCCATTGGGGGCCGACAGGGCTCGCAGGACCTCGGGCACCAACAGGCCTTGGCATTGTGGCTTGAGGCGTCTCGATCATGCGGGAGTGACGATCCTTCGCAGCGCCCGGGCTACTCCCGGGCCCGTCTCTAGCCGGGGAGCCGGTGATAGCCGTGGTACGTGGTCTCCGTGTGACAGCCTCCACCCACTTGCTACCAAGAGAACGACTAAGCCAAAGCCGGCACTTTGGCTTAATTGGAGGTTCAAATATCCTCTGTGGGGCAAGGCTGCACGAGAGGGCACGCCACGCCATAACAGCAGCCTAAACAGCGGCCTTAAGTTGTAAAAGTGTCAGATCCTGCAAATTATAATGCATTTCCAGCCAATTTTTCATGTAAGCCCATAGGTATTCGATAGGTTCCATAACGTGTTATGCGGTAGGGGTGTCACGATCAGGGCGAGTAGGCTTCACAGCCAGGTTCAATTGATACTATGGATGAAAAACTCTTTTATGGGGAGGGAAAAAGGGAGAGAGGCGCGGAGCGTCAAACACGCGATGCGGAAGAAAAGGTGGTACAGCGTCTAGTCGCACGGGCTGTTCAGCGGCACGTGCTCCTGTGGATACCTGCGCTGTGCGGTGAACTGCTTTGGATCGTCACAAGGAGTAACAGATAGAGGTACATTGATTTGGGTGCAATTTTCTGTGTGGGAAAATGTCCCTCGATACGAGGCGAAAAAGGCAAGGATCCACGGCACTAGCAATTTTAATCATAAATACCTGTACTGTTACGGCCATGGTCAAAGAAGAGAACACCGTCAATTGGTGCTACAAACGAAGATTCTAATCTAGGGGAGAAAAGGAAGGAAAGAGGGGATTCCGGTGTTCGGCGCGCGTTCAGCGCGTCTTGATCATGGTTCATCGTGTGGGTCCTCGTCTGTGGGTCAAGACCTGTGGGCCTTGACCCAGATCGTCACATGTGCACCCGCACAGTAAACACACGCGCAGCCTTACCAATTTTTGGACCAATGGGCCCCTGTTGTGGTGTGGCAGTGGTGGAGTGAATTTTTCTTACTAGTGAATGCTTGGCGACTACGCTAGCAGGGAGCCCCTGTTCCCGCACTGGGAAAGTGGCCTTTTCAGCAAAGGCACTTTTTTCTTGGCTTTCGCACCCCTCTGTGCCAGCACCAGGGTGTGCATGTTACTTTCTATCGGCGGCTGCACTGGTAGGGGACCCATATTTATGCTTAAGTGTGGATCTCACATTTATAGACACCTGCACGTCTGTTGGGCCTTGTGGGTTATGAGTCATCAATGGTGGGCTTTGTCAAACACCTTTTTTCGGCACCCTGGTTCCCCCAGTTTGCCCTCAAGGGCTGGAGGGCTGGTATGACTCACACCTCCGATTTTGGCTTTCCATTCTATTGTCTTGGCTTTTCCTTAGCTGCCTGATTGTCACATGGACCCCTCGTTACCAGGGTTTAAAAGCCAGAAACAAAGGTAAAAGTCTTCACGCACCTTGCAACTGAACGGGATATCTAGACCTTGGCACACTTAGGAGAGTCGTATCCAAGCAGGGTCGTTGATACCGGCGTCACATCTTGGGTCCTTGCTTCCTTAATGGCCTTTTCTGCAACAAGGTTCTCAAGGCCGCCCAGACAATACATGCATGTTAGGTTGCCTTCGCCAGGGTAGGTGCGTAGGATACACCGAGTTAACGTTTAACCCTTGCAACAGAGGAGTGTAAGTAGCTCCGCTGAAATAAGAGTGGTGGTTTTTAGCTTCGAGCGGTTTTCACTGGAATGCTTCGATATTAAACATATCATTGCCTATGTAAGTGACCTTCCACTTTTAGCACCAAATCTTTCGAAGCCTCTTTTTTGTTTTCAGCTTTGTAGCTAATTTTCTCTTTCAAGCAAACAATACCAAAATGCCTTCAAAAGATGAGAAAGATGATAGGCAAAGGAAGGAGTTTGTTCGAAAGCGACTTCAGAGTCTGTTTAGGAAAGTCAAACAGCTAGGGGAAGGCGGAAATGTTTTCGTTTTGCTCATAGCCGATGATCCCTTATACGGTCCACGTGGGGAGGTGCATCTTCCAGAGGGATCAGTACTTCCAGACACCAACGCATTTGTAAGCAGTAGCTGGACTTATTTTATTACTAGCCGCCAGCTAATTTGTCACAGGCACAACGGTTACTCGACGGCTACAAACCTAAAGTGAGACAACGGAAGTTACGCAGACCTCGAAGATCTGCACGAAATAAAGAACCGGCATCCTGCGTTCTAGAAGAGATCACAGTCGACACAACAAGCGACAATGGCGTCACGGTCGATGCAAGCAACGACGATGCGTTTGGCGAGATCGATGATCAATGCACTGACGAAACCTGGGCCGAGAAAAGCGAACAGGGCGGATGCGTTGAGGAGGATGGCAATGCCAATAGCCCAGCTCGGGAAGCCGCAGCAAGCCAAGGGGTGCTGGCTGAAACCCCACAGCTACGCTGCGCAATCAGTGTTCACGGCATAAATGAACCTGCCAATTCTACCCTCACAGAGGAGACCAAAACTGCAGAAGACGCTGTGCAACAAGCAGCGGAAGCTGTAGCACAGTCCGATACGGAAGGCGTACATGAAGCACCTCAAGACATGCTTCTGGATTTCGATCTGGCCAATGGCGATGATGGATTACTTCTGCAAGCTGAGGATCCTGGTTCTCCGGACTTCACTATGTTGCAAAACGGGGAAAATGGGTTCTTACAGCAATTTCAAGGTCTTAGTCCTCTAGAGCTTTTCCGAAACGCTATACTAAGCCTTGGACGACAAAAGGAAATAGGAAACTGATAAGATAGTTTGAGGTATTTCTTTTTGGTTGAATTTTAAAACCGGTGGCCTGTCCTGTTGGTAGCCTGTGGGTCAGTCCGGGAATAACTCGAGTCGCTTGTTTGAGCGTCCATTTTCATAAGGTGAAGGTGTTGAAATATGCTGGGTGTTATGGCGTGGCGGGCCCTTGCGGGCTTCCAGCTATTTGCCCTACCGCCGAAGCCACATGACTGGAGGTCATGTGACGCCACTCATTGACAAACGGCTTTTGCGTGGCTCCGGTACAATGCACCGTCTTCTACTTTTTTCCCTAGCTTTAGATTTTATCACTAGTCCACGTTTTAGCGCAGCTTGCCTCGCATTCGTCGTGATATCGTAATACAAGGAGAAAGTCACTAAGAGCTTATTCGCTCTGCTACCCTTGGACTGATTAACAAAGAACTGCATTATAATAATATCCGATATATTCCACGCATTTACAATCTGCACATGTAGCTTGCCCATGTCAGCGAAAAATTCAAAAAACCACGTTTTCCACCTCATCTAGTTTCAGCTTATAAGAACGCGTAATCGCCGACTCTGCTTAACATTGGTAATAAACATATGTTTTCGTGGTGGTAATAGAATTAAGGACGCTTATAGCTTGATGGAGCTATTTTAAATTTCATTCAATGTATTTGTTATATGTACATTGCGGGCTTTGATAATTTTGCCTTGTACCCCAAACATCCCATGAAGACTTGCACTTAATAAATACCTAGAACACTGCAGGTTTTTGATCGTTTATGCAATTTTAAACTTCGATATAAAAGGGTGAATAATATGCTAACTATAGAGATAAAGGTTACGCTTTCCAAAGAGCGTCCAGTAATTTCGATGACAACAATTACAAGAGATCCAAGTCGAGGACGAACTATGACGTGTACATCATCTAAAAGGAGATCAACATCAGTTCCAACGCTAAGAAAAGCGAAGGAAACCCGACCTACCTGTAAAACGAGTTGAAACGCGAGAAAACTTTTGTCTAATTTAAAGCCATTTTCGTATGTTCAGTTGAAGGCTTGTTTCCCAATATAAAAAGGGTTATAAAATAAAACGCAATGCAACTTTCAATACTGGCAAATCTTTAGAATTTGAAAATGACGCTGCAAGCCTATGACGTTCAGGCTCGTGGTCTTGGCGGAACAACAGTTGCAACGGAAGGAACAAACCCCAAAGTCTCATTATCTAAGGAAGACAGGTTTGCAGAACTAACTAAGGAGAATGGACGCCTACGAGCTGAAATCGCATATCTAAGGAATATGCATCATATTTTAATTTCAATGTTGCCGACTCTTCGCTATCATACCAAAGGGCTTTTGGCATGTCTGGACCAGTGCGATGCGGAGGTCGAAAGTGTAAATAGTGAATGGAATATGGAGTTTAAAATATAACACCTTAAACAGTGCTTTGGCAGCTTTGATTACGAAAACCCGCCGATTTAAAGAGATTTAAAAGCTTTATTTCCTAGAGTTTCCCAATAGTGGTGTTACGACGTGGCATTTGAGCTCTTGATCCCGTGCAGAATTTATGTGAATGTTGAGTTGAAGAGGAAAAGAAAGGTTAGAGGAGAGGTGTGGCCTCTGGCCACACCTTTATCCTGTCAGTCTTTCCTTATCTAATCTCCAGCTAATCGGCTATCAACTCTACTAACTACCACTGGCAGTGCCGTGCCATAACAAGTGGTGCCGGTGGAAGAAACCCTGACCCGATTGCACGGTTTGTGCCACTACTGTTATAAAACACTGTCTCTAGTCATCCATGAGTGGGAAGAATGCGTTTGTTCTATTTTTCCTTCGTTCGAAGAGGATTACGGTTTTAGTAGATATACACAGAGCATATGGTCCGGGCATGGGCGGAGCCCGTGCTCGTGTCTATCTAGAACCTTCTACAACCTGTCCGCGCGATACTATCAAACACCTCGTGTCTAATAACTACTGTCATGGGCAGAGGAGGGGACCCACTGCTGGCATGGCCTGCCTTACAGGCCTGTGCCAATTGTGGGCCCGTAACCTAGGGCTAGATAGTGGGGCTGCAGAGGTAAAGCCTCTGCAGTTACTGTCAGCCGCAAGGCATTCTGTATCAGCCGCAAGGTATTCATGTCAGCCGCAGGGCATTCTTTCTAAAGCATCTACAGGGCTCATGTGTTATAAGGGCGGTTGTGGCACAGAATTTCGAGAGAGCAGGAGGGGAGAATACAGAACAATCTTCTTGGTTGTCATGGCATAAGGTCTGGCTGACTCAGCCGTGCACGTGCCCCACAGCCTGGCATTCAAGTGCAGTTACGAGCATCGCCATCTTGTAGATTCTCTCATTTCCTCTCCATCTTTAATTCTAAGGTCTACTTGGTAGATTACACGATTCCATTATGCCGGTCCGTGATATTGGTGCTGAAAAAGTCTGACAGTCACCGTACCTCCGCTTCCGGCGGGGATCTCGGCACACACATCATCGATACTAAGTCAAAGCACCCCCTGTCGGGTCACGTCTGGTCCCACAACCTCAGTTCCAGCCATGTATTCATTTTCCACGCCCTTCCATCAATTCTGATCCGTTTTCCTTACTTTTTACTACATTCGAAAGCCAAAACGATAGGCAAGTTGTACACCGAACATGAAGTCGAAGAGGCCGTCGCCGCCGTGCAGGCGGAGGTTTCAATCCGGAAGGCTGCTCAAATCTATGGGGTACCCTTCTCAACTTTGCAACGCCGACTTAAGGGTGCCCTACCGATCCGGCAGTCACAAGAGCCCTATCAGCGGCTAGGCCCGGCCCAGGAGAAGGGCCTGGCAGATTGGATACGCATACAGGCCTCCCTAGGCCTCCCTCCAACGCATGCAGAAGTTCGCTTTTTTGCGGAGGAGATCCTACGCCGGGAGGGCACCCAACCGACCCTCGGGAAGCGCTGGATTAACCGTTTTTTACAGCGATATCCGGAGATCCGTGTCGGAAAAGGCCGGCGCATAGAGTCGGCATGAGTTAAAGGGGCTACTACTGCAATAATTAGGCAGTGGTGGGAATACCTCCAAATCCCGGAGGTGGCTGGGATCAAGCCGGAAAATACGTACAACGCAGACGAAGGGGGCCTGCAGGATGGCAAGACGGGCAACGGCCTTGTTCTAGGCCTTGCAGAGGCCTGGCATTTGCAAAGGAAAGACCCCGGGGATCGCAGCTAGACGTCGTTTATCGAATGCATCTCGGCCACTGGGGTCTCGCTTCCTCCCCTCATCATTTTTAGAGGGAAATACGTGCAGGAACAGTGGTTTCCGGAAGATTTAAGCCAATTCAAAGGCTGGGAATTCACTGCAACGGATAGCGGGTGAACTACGGACCGTACGGGGGTAGAATGGCTGCAAAAGGTCTTCCTTCCTCGCACCCAACCCCCTACCCCTAAACCCCGGCTTTTGATATTAGATGGCCACGGATCCCATATTGCCAAAGAGTTTATGTCTCTTTGCCTGCAAAATAACGTATATCTCTTATATTTACCCCCTCATTCCTCCCACGTTTTGCAGCCTCTCGATTTATCGGTCTTCAGCCCTCTCAAACACGCCTACCGCCAAAAAATAGGGTTCCAAGCTCTATTTACTTGCTCTACTGGGGTAGGAAAACGTCAGTTTTTACAAACTTACGCCTACGCACGGAACAAGGCCCTAACCGAGCATATAATCAAGTCGGGGTGGCGGGCATCAGGGCTTTGGCCTCGCAATATAGCCAAACCCCTAATGAGCCGGCTTTTAATCGAAAATTCGAATAAAAACACCCAACGAGCCGGAATTCAACAATCTGCCGAAGAAAACAGGGCCAAAAAACGTTCGAATACGCTTTCCCGGCTGTCCCAAATGCCCTGGCAAACTCCCAAGCAAACCAGAGAGTTGGCCTCCCAAATCAGCACTTTCAAAGCCCGGATTCCGGCAAGCCCTACAGCCCGACTTTTCCTCCGGAAAGTCCAAAAAGGCTACGAAACGCGTGATTTCGAATTGTTTAAAGCCCTGCAAAAAATTAGGCGGCCGGAGGCCGAATTGGAGGCACAGCGGCCTCGCAAAAAAAGGAGGGTGGCCCCGGATCCTAACGAAACCTTTGTAAATATCCGGCGCGTTGCAAACGGAAGGGGGCAAGCTGAGGAGATCAGCTTTAGTGCATTTGAAAGAGCAGAAGATTCTGATCAGGAATCAGTCCTTTCATGTATTCTAGTTAGTTGAATTACGGTAGAATTTTGCAATTGAATGCGTTAGGTTTAATCGCGATCCGATTCATTTTGGTAACCCGACTGTGGGGGTAACCCGACAGGGGTGCTTTGACTTACTATACCACTGCGTGATACCCATATTGGCTCTCACAACTACCCCAGAGGGTAATCGAGTCTGCCGTCAAAAGCACAAACCTCCGATATCAGTTCTAGCTAGCAAAATCTACTATCTTCTGCATCCAGATTTCCCCTACCGGGTTTGGCAGCCGCGCGATCCGTGCAGCTCTCAACAGTGCGCGACTCGCTTGTGTGCGCGACTCGCTTGTGAACTAATTACGCTACCAACTCCATCAACCACGACAAGTGAAACAACGGGTATTGTTTGAGGGTTTACCACTACGAGGATGTCTCATCCGACACGTTACTGAATATCTCCCCATAGCGCTCTAAACAACTTCTTCCACTATCTCTTGGTTTTTCATTTCAAGAGGTGTCGCTGGATAGTGCAATGAATTTATACCTGGACCAATGGTTTGCAGTGATTGAAAAGAGCTCCTTTGCTGTGCGTGGTCGTGCTTATACCTAGCAATTAAATTTTGCTGTGTTTGAATAATTTGTTCCTGCAAGTTATGGCACGATTCAATATTCTTGATATGCTGTTTCAAACGCTCAATTTGTGCTTCCATACTTTGAACGACCTTTTCCAATCGATTTATTTCACCACCTTTTGTATAAACTTCCTCGATCATAAAACATAGCGCTCGAGTAAACTCAACGTTGGCCATGTTAACCTATTAATTTTTGCAGAAGTAATTATATGTTAAATGAATGTTGCGGTAAAAGCGGGCTTATATATTTGGCGTGCCCTAGATGGACAGTTTAATCTACCCATTCGAACGTGCTCAGACTGTTCGTGATTTGGGTTATCCAATGTGTAATTGGCAGTGGTAAAATCACTTGCCAATACGCCAGTAGCACTTTTAAAAGGTTATAAATCCAGGCTCCTGTTTAAAACATTTGTTTGCACAGACTATTTATGTAAAATCCTGCATAACATCACGTTAGGCTATTATAAGATTTCATAACCAACGTGGCTAGCTCCTAACCATTTCAAATTCCTAAGGTAAATTTGTAAATAACTAGGTAAAACGCCGGTTTGTAAAATAAAACTAGCTCCGCATTTAGCTTTGTGTTTTTAGGTTCATTTTCGCGTTAACGCGATTTAGGCAATTTAATTGCCCTGTTAAATTGCTGCTAATATCTTTTTCTATATTTTTATTGTTGGCGGGTATCATTGCTGGTGCACACTACTAATCTTCGCTCATAAGCATTGTCTGCACTCTTTTAAAATTTGCTTTGTTTTAGCTAATGTTTTAGTCGTTCGCGAATTTTTGGCCAGCTTAATTACTTTTCTGTTCCATTCCACAGTTCCACTCTTCGTAAGCTCCGTTTTGGCGATCATTGTATTCTAAACACCAACTACGTCCAACCCACAACGGAGTGTGTTTTGCGAAAGACAGTGTGACGGCCCAGGGCAGTTCACCGCACGCCGCAGGCATCCACGTGAGCATGCGCCGCGGAATAGCCCGTGCGATAAGACGCCGCGCCGCTTTTTCTACCGCATCGCGCCTTCGGAGCGCCGCGCCTTTCTTCCCTGTTTCCTCCCCATAGAAGAGTCTTCAGTCCATAGCATCAATTGCACCTGGCTGCGAAGCCTACGCTCCCTGATCGTGACAGACGTGGCATTTTTAGAACGTTACACTTCGAGGCGTATGACAAGGATTTCCTACATCCTTGGGGTCCAAGAGAAGGTGTAAGTTAAGGACCCCTGTTCCGCACCACCCCTGTTCTGCACCACCCAAATCCGACTCCGCCCCCGCATCAACCCTCACCGCTACTCTCGTATATCTCGACGAAAATGCATTCACTCGCCATACTTTTAACTGCATTTTACTGCCAAAGCAATGGAGAAGCAATATACGGAGGTCCAAATCGCCGAGGCGCTCCGG